GGGTGCTGCCAGGCAGGGGGCTATCCCTGCTGCACTCTCACTGCCACATGCTGCCTGGGGAGCTCTGCACAAGTCCCCCAACCCCACCACGGGTTCCCTGCACGGGCCAGCTCCAGCCCTTTAATAAAAAAAAAAAAAAAAAAAAAAAAAGCCCTAGGACTCACTGCTCTTCCCGGTGGAGGTGATTCCTGCTTCCCCCCACTGCCCTGTGCCCTGTGGGAGGCTCTGCATGAGCCCCCAAAGCCCTGAGGCCACTGCAGGAGTGGTGTGTGGGGGGCTTTTCTCAGCTTTTTTTTTCTTAAAGGCCCAGAGCTGGCCTGGGTGGGGCACCCATGGGGGGGCTGGGGTAACAGAGGGGGTCAGGGAGATCATGGCAGAGCCCCCCATGCAGCATGGGGCAGTAGGGGGCATCAGGGATTGCCCTGCCTGCCTGGCAGCACCTGGTGAGCACTGGGGATCTGCCCATAATGCTTACCAGCTCAGAGTGGCTGCAGCTCCCTGCTGTCTGAATCACCAAAGCTCTTCGAATCTTTTCCAAAGATTCAGATAGCTTTGAATTGATTCAGACCTTTAAATTGGTCCCCTGATTCGATTCAGATTCAGAGATTCGGCCACCAAATCGGGCCTAATCTCCTTTGAATCAAATCACCACCTGAAGCTTTGCCTAGACCTATTGCCCACGCAGAACAGGAGGGCGGGGGAGGGACAAATGCATCCTGGGATGCTGGGGGACTGCAATTTGGGCATTTTATTTCTGGGGAGTGGCCACATATTCTTGGAATATCAACTGGGTAATACAGATTAGAATTAAACCTGCCCCACAGTGGTGTAATTTTGAGATGCCTAAAGGATGCTTAAAACACATTTACATGTCTTAATATGTGGACAATCCAAGGGTTAAGAGCTCCCTGAGCTGCCTCAAAGTAATGTCTAACAAAGCCAAATCAGGAAATTTGGTTAATTCATCATGTCAAGGGGATTGGCAATGATGACTAATTATCAATTAATGGCTAATTATTAGTATTGACTTTTTGTGAGTTGAATTTTCCATTTCATATTGAGACACAGTAAAGAAGCATTTTTGCCATTTATAATGAAGAAGCATGCTACAAAAAATCTGAGTGTAAACTGTACCCACTCTGGCTTACCATATGAAAATTGTATGATTATACAGTTAAATACTTAATGTACAACTTATTCACTGCAAAGAGGTTCAGATTACTCACTATGTAAGAATAACATTACTGTAATGGAGCAAAATTATCAACTGAAGATTTTTGCTTCGCTCTCTTACGTGCCCTCATCAGTGAAACAGAAGATGATTCTGCAGAATGGAATGGTTGATTGTCCATATCTTGCTGAACCAAGAAAAGCTAAAGTCTGTTCAATGCTTTGCAAACATCAGCTGGCTTGACAGTGCTATGGACTTTTAACATGACTAATTACCAGAAGCAAATTTCATTGTGATTTAGTATGAGTATATATTTGGAAATGAGTAATTATACTTTAACAGACGATGAATTAGCCAGATGTTTTCAGTACAAACTAATATTGGTGAGTTATCTCAGTGACTAATTAACCAGATTTTCATGTATGCTTAGAGCATCTGTTAATTATTCAGTAACCCTTTCGTTACTTCCATTCGCTTGGTCTCATCTGGGGTGAAAAGTACTTTCTCCCTATCTGTAAAATTGGGATGCAGCTACTGACCTCCCTCTGTAAAGTATTTTGAAATCTGAAGAAGGAAAGTTCTTTAAAACCACCAGTGAGTGTTATGATAAACTATTTGCAAACACACTCTGAAAAGAAAGTGTGTATGCTTGAGTTGGAGTGGTATGTCTGCAATATTAGGAACACAGCATGTACCTGAACCCTGGTTTCTGGAAGGTTGATCTTTGCTGCCAGTTGGTTCCTCATGTGAATGTCTGGGTAGTGTGTGACTTTGAAAATCTTTTCCAGCTCCTGTAGTTGCTCCACTGTGAATGTTGTCCGGATTCTCCGCTTCCCTTTCTTCTCATCTGTTCAAACAGGCAAAGATGGATCAGGCTTTAGATTAAGGATGAATTTACAGGGAATTTTTAAAGGGCCATGAAATGATTCTTAGATGTTTTAATAATAAATCCAGTGTTATGGAGTTCAGCAAGTCAATAAGTTGCTTAGAACCATCTCTACCACTGTCTAGGGATGTGCTGATAACCACTTTTAATACAAACTACTCATGACTATGACATACTTAGAGCATCTCTTGATAATTTAAGCCTTTATAAGCTATTTATAAAGGGATGTTCAATGTCAAGTGACAGAAACATTCACATGTTCAGTCTTCCATCCCCAGGTCTGTATCCCTCACTGGAAGCAATCATTTGCTCCCCTTCATCCGCGTGATTTTCCATTCCTAAATTTTCCTGCTGTGCTCTTCTTACTGAAATTGGCTATGATGGCTCTGGAAATAACACAGCCCCTGTAAGTGGAGGCTAAGCCTGCAAGTGCTCCTACCGCCCTTTATTTTTATTTTTAAAGCATTCAGAATTCTCCCTTGATTTGATTTTCCTGTTGACCAGGAAATCTGTGTTGTTTCATGTTGCAGAAAAATGGCAAAATGGGGGCGTACAATAGCCTCCTTGCCTTGGATGAAATGTTTTAATCTTGCTTTAAGGGCACAAGTGAAGTCCTTTGCTGGCCTCAGCTTCATTCCTCTGCTTGTTTGTCTACCACATAAAACTACCAGGTTCAGGCTGCTGCAATCACTGCTGCTCATTAAAAGGGTCTTGTAACTTTCACACTGTTCCCTGGTGCACCCCTGGTCTGTTTGTTTTCTAGTTGTGGTCCTCTTGTCTTCAAACTTAGCTTGCAAGTTATTTTGGACAAGCATAATTTCTTTATTACATGCTTTTAGAGTTCCCAACCCAAAGGTACTATGGACTATAGGTGTTAGAGCAATACAATAATAAATAAGAACAACTACCGACTATAACTTCTGTCTTACAAGATCAACCATATACGCAGGGTTTGAAATATGGTGGAGGACTGGGAGAGGCTGAGCCCCTCCTCATAGGAGACAAGAGCCCCCAACCCGCCCTGTGCCTTTCTAAGTAGCTCAGGCAGCGGTGATGGTGGCGGCTCCTTCCAGCTTTTGGCTGCCACTGTTGCAGACCCCCCTAGGAGTTGAAGTCTAATTCAAACCCTCCATATACTTGCTTTAATCTTTTTTTTCTTTAAAGGTTAAAAGTCAAGCGGATAGCCATTTAACATGATTTAGAGTTTTTACTAATTTCACTGTATTGCAACTCTCCTTATTTGCACCTGTGAGGTCAAATTTATGCCCAGAGTCTTCTCATGGTCTATTTATGGAGAGACAAGCAAACAACTGTAGATCACTTGTTTCTGCTAACTGCACCATTCTTTCACTAGTATTTATGGTTAAGTGACAGTCTCTAGGTAACTAACATGGTGTTTGTTGCCTCAAAAATGTTATCTTATACCTGGGGTTCACCACCAGAGTGTTTGTGGCCAACCAAGGCAATCCTAGTGATCCACCAAGATCTGTTATTAAACCACTTTATTAAATGGAAAAGGATGTACAAAGCACAACAGTGAGTCCTGTGTCCTTACTGTGCAATGATTTATTAATCTGCACATCTGGATGTGTATTTCAGTTTCCTGTTTGCAAATATGCTGAGGACATTTATTCAATCAGAGTGGATCCTGCTGGCAGCCCTCCAATGGAAAGTGTACCTTGTGAATGGGCCTTAATAAGGTTTAAGCTGCAAATCTATGTTTTATAAGAAGCCATTTAGTGAGCAGTTTTACAGAACCTGGATAACTTGATGGGCTGCATTGTACTGTACAATTTGTCAAAAAAAATCTGTTTCTATATATTTTATGGATAGTCAGGCTCAATGTAAATTGTGGGGCTACTTGGTAAGTGTAACTGAAATTTTAGTTCACTGATAGCTCAGAAAATGTTTTATGAACAGAAATTCTGGGAAAAAGTCATTTGGGGGCTGAATGAACTGACTTAATCACAAGAAATCATTTTGCTGATGGTTGAACATAAGTTTGATTTTTAAAATGAAATTGAAGGACATCCCTACATAAAAAGTCAGTTTAGAAAAAAAAAATCAAAACATTAAATTTAAAAAAATTGGACAATGAAATTCTTCAGCTTTTTCCAGTTTTGCTTGTTTTC